GCAGAGCGACCAGATGGTCTGGCACAACTCGCGCGGCAACGATGGCGCTTACCAGTTGGGACTTCGCAGCGCGTCTGACAGGCCGCACTGGAGCGCAGGAGCTTCAGTGCGGGTCGGTGACTCGGGCGGACGCGACATTGCGGTGACGCCGACAAACGAAGCAACCAGGATGACAATAGAAATGATGGTGGCGATGAAGGCGATGACGACGACAAGGCCAATGACGGCGCCGATGGTGGTGTCGAGAATGACGATGATGATGTCCATGTGCCGGCGGTGGCAGTGATTGCCTTGATGGTGACGACAATGGCGGCGATTAACGATGACGATGCGATTGCACCGACGAGGGCGATGAGGAAGTGCGCGCGTAGAGTCCGTGGAATCTGACAGACCTGTTGATGCACGACGACTGGTATGACATTTGATGCTGAAAAGCTGTACCTTGATCGGGAGCGGCCAAGAGGGGGGTGTCCAAGATGGGGGGGTGCAAATCATGACCGGCGGCATGTGCGCGGCCTAGCGGGGGGGCCAGGGACGTAATGAAGCAAGAAGAGGCGCCATGAGATCTGGGGAGATATCATGGCCCCCGCCATGATATCCACCCCCCCCCCTAGTCATCACCCCCCCTCTTATCCGCCCCCGAGTACCTTGAACTGCTTCGAACCATCGTTGGTAATGGACAGGTTTCGACACACTGGCGCGCCGCGGCGCGCGCACGTGGCCCGCATGCGATTGCTTGATACGGGTGTCGTGCTCCGGGCGCGTGGTACATCCACGGATGCACCGCGTGGTGCGATGGACATGCAGTCCGAAACCCATGTGGTGTCCGAGTGGTTCCGACGAAGCTAATGTTGGGACGAGATTGCTAAACTCATCTGGTGTCCGAATGGTTCCAGTCAGTGTTTGACATGATGGCGGCATGTGCGCGCCCGTGTGGACTTTGTCGCATGTGATGCTGTTAAATAAAGGGTTGTTGAACAACTGCTTGTGAGATCACCAAACACGCGCGCATCGTATGCTGTGTAAGCGGAGACTCTACGTGGTACAACCTACGTGGTGCATACTACGTGGCGCAAGCTATATGTTATTTCTTAGTTCACACCTTCACTGCGGGCATCCGAACTCACACACCTTGCCCAAACGAGTGGCCTTAGGACTGGCCTCAGAAGTACGAAAGCACCGCTGCAATGTCCTTGCGTTCTTACCAATAAGAAAAATAATAAAGACAAAAAACGACCCAAGTGGTGGTCTCGCAGCCGCCAAACTCGAATGAGTCTCAGCCTGAGACCCACGACCTCTGACGAGTAGAAATGCAGAGGGAACCACACAAACTGGGAACGATCGCACTCTGACCTGAACAATTCAACCAACGACCTGCTTGCTGGAAAACTCGAGCGACAAAAGCCGTATTGTCCCCCCGACCCATCAAAACCGCGCGTCGCTGCGAGAGTGTACGCTTCTGAAATATGTTGCTTTTCGAACTCGCTCCTCCTCCTCCTCCTCCTCCTCCCCCTCCTCCTCCTCCTCCTCTTCCTCCTCCTCTTCCTCGTCCACCTCCAGCATTGAGGCAACTTGAGGAGCTTGGCGCAATGAGACAGCGGCAGCTCAACCGCGATCCCTCGACGCCTCCTGGGGCCCAAAAGCTCACAACTCTTCCTGGGCCGCGCGCCGCCCCGGCGACGAGGGGCCCCCTGCGAAGGCCCACTGCCGGTGTCCCAACTGGCCCTCCTCTGACCTCCGAGCCCTCGCCCTCACCTCCACTTTCGCAGATAAGCAGATCGGGAGCGGCCAGGAGGGGGGTGTCCACGAGGGGGGGTGCAAGTCATGACCGGAGGCATGTGCGCGGCCCAGCGGGGGGGCCAGGGACGCAATGAAATAAGAAGAGGCGCCATAAAATCTGGGGAAATATCATGGCCCCCGCCATGATATCCACCCCCCCCTAGTCATCACCCCCCTCTCTGCGGCCCCGGAACAGAGGAGGTGGCTGCACCATCGGTTCCAAACCTCCCCTTGAATCTATACTCCCGGGCTTCAGGCAAGCTGGGCTGGGTGCCAAGCGATGCGCGCAAGGATTCGAAACCATCGAGGTCCAGCCACCTGGGGACCCTTCACCCCACAAGGAAGCGCACCCATCGGTCGGAAGAAGTAGGTAGAAACATGAAGTAGGAAGGCGGATAGAGTAGATTGGGCTCGGGCCCGCCCAGAGGAGCAGCAGTGCGCAGCACAGGCACATCGACGCCTGAAGCAAGGCGCTTGAGGTGGATTGGGTTATGGGAATCTCGAAGAAACCTGACTTTCAACACCCGATGGGCAACGTCGTAGAATCCTCACCCCCATCGTCACTGCCTGCCCGCCTCCTCCTCCTCCTCCTCCTCCTCCTCCTCCACGCCCGCCTGACCAGCTGGTAGACGCAGTCGAGCCACTGAAGCCACCGGCACCCCCCCCGGGGTGCCCCGGGCGCGGACCCTCACACGACGGATCCGCCCCCGTGGCGCGGAGGCGGCGAGAGAGAGCGAGACAGCGGGGTGGTCTCCTGACTGGACGGGGGTCGGGCGCGCCGGCCCTCGGCCGTCCCCGCTGCTCCTTCCTTCCCTGCTCTTCCTTCTCCTCCTCGTGCTCCTCCTCCTCCTGCTCCTCGTGCTCCTGGTGCGCTGCTCCTGCTCCTCCTCCTCCTCCTCCTCCTCCTCCTCCTCCTCCTCCTCCCTCTCCTCCTCTAAACTCTCCTCCCTCTGGCCCCGACGAAAGTGCTGGTTGGACAAAGCCAGTGTGGTGCTTGGGAAACTCTCAGGCAACCCCATCGTTCTGCCACACAGTTGCCCTGCCCTCGAGTGTACACCATGGGTGGTGCACCACGCATCTGGTCCCACCGACAAGGTTAAGGCGGGAGGAGGAGGAGGAGGAAGAGGAGGAAGAGGAGGAGGAAGAGGAGGAGGAGGAGGAGGAGTAAGGAGGAGAAGGGCGCAGGAGGAGGACGACGAGGAGGACGAGGAGAAGGAGGAGGGCCTCCCAAGCCATGCCATACAACTTCAAGCGTCCCCCTGCCCGCCCTTTGCAGCGAGGGCGAGGGGTACACAGACTTCGCGTCTCGCGCCCTGCGTTGCGCGACGCGCGGCAACTTCGCCGACTCTCGCGTTCGCCCTGGAGACTCCCGTCCTCGTCCCCAGATCTTGATCCTCATTCTCGTCCACTTGGGCCGTGGCAGACGACTGGGAAGGGGGGGGGGATAGCAAAGAGGTGTGTTAGGGCACGCAGCTCACTAGGGCCACGCATCGAGGCAAGCGCCCAGCGGTGGGACCGGATCCGGCTGCACCTGACTCGGGACTCTGGCAACCATGCGTGACGACCACCGAGGCTCCCAAAGAACACCGCGAACCGGCGAAACCTGAACGCCGCCACTTCCCATCGTCCGACCCAATTCTCCTCCTGCCCCTCCTTCAGCTACCCCTCCTGCTCCTCCTCCTCCTGCTCCTCCTCCTCCTCCTGCTCGTTCTCCTCCTCCTGCTCTGGTGATGTCGTCCTCCTCCTCCTCCTCCTCCTCCTCCTCCTCCTCCTCCTCCTCCTCCTCCTCCTCCTCCTCCTCCTCCTCCATTCCTTCTCCTCATGAATAACCTCTCCTTGTCGCACCCAGAGGCAAGTTTTTAGGGCGGGCCGGGCGTTTCGCCTGAGACTTCCTCACCATTTATGATTCTGAAGCTTAAAGTGGCAACAACTTCACAGATGGAGGGCGGGTGGTTTTCAAAATGTGGCTCCCGCCTTAGAGCCGCGCACATTCGTTTCAAACATTTGACACGGATTGAGGGCGGGTGGTTTTCAGAATGTGGCTCTCGCCTCAGCGCCGCGCACATTCGTTTCAAACAGTTGCAAGAGTCTCACGGACTGAGGGCGTGTCCTTTTCAAGATGTGGCTCTCGCCTTAGCGCTGCGCCCATTCGTCTAAACATTTGCAAGAGTTTGACGGATTGAGGGCGGGTGGGTTTCAAAATGTGGCGCTCGCCTTAGCGCCGCGCACATTCGTGTCAAACAGTTGCAAGAGTCTAACGGATTGAGGGCGGGTCGTCTACAGAATGTGGCTCTCGCCTCAGCGCCGCGCACATTCGTTTCAAACATTTGCAAGAGTTTCACGGATTGAGGGCGGGTCGTTTTGAACATGTGGCTCTCGCCTCAACAACGCGCACATTCGTTTCAAACAGTTGCAAGAGTCTCACGGATTGAGGGCGGGTTCTTTTCAAGATGTGGCTCTCGCCTTAGCGCACGGCACATTCGTTTGCAAAGTTTGCAAGAGCTTCGCGGATTGAGGGCGGGTGGTTTTCAAAATATGGCGCTCGCCTTAGCGCCGCGCACATTCGCTCTTAACATTTGCAAGAGTCTCACGGATTGAGGGCGGGTCGTCTTCAAAATGTGGCTCTCAACGCAGCGCCGCGCACATTCGTTCCATTAATGTGCAAGAGTTCCACTGATGGAGGGCGGTTCCTTTTCAAAATGTGGCTCTCGCCTTAGCGCCGCGCACATTCGTTTGCTCAAATTGCAAGAGTTTCACGGATCCCCATGATCTACCAGAAATTGTGTTCTGGCAGGCTTCAGGAATATGCGGTTGCAACAGTTGTGTTGGTACGCGGTGTTGAAGCTCCAAAAATAGCGCTCTGGTACGATTCCGGATCGTCAAGACGCAGCAGTCAGGTTGATGCGTGGCGTTGAAATCCCGAGAACACTGTTTTGGCGTGCTTCAGGATCTTCAAACGGTTGTCTTCCAACGAGGCAGTTTCCCCTCAATGGAAATGTACCGCTGTACGTGCTTACGAAGATAGAGCTTGGAGGGAGGGTAAATTCAGACATCGCTGATGGCTCTTGGGTTTCCGCTGGTCCTCCTCCTCCTCCTCCTCCTCCCCCTCCTTTTCCTCCTCCTTTTCCTCCTCCTCCTCCTCCTCCTCCTTCTCCTTCTCCTCCTTCGTCTCCTCGCCCTCCTCCTCCTCCTCCTACTCCTCTCGCGGCGCGGGCTCGAGCCCCCCCCGGATGAAGACGGGGCTGTACTCGCTGGTGGGCTGCTCCCCGAGCGCCAGCCTCGTCCGGAAGCGGTGCCCGAAAGAGCACCACTCCTCGGGGCGGCGGCGGCGGCGGCGGCGGCGGCGAGTAGGAGGAGGAGGAGGAGGAGGAGGAGGAGGAGGAGGAGGAGGAGGAGGAGGAGGAGGAGGAGGAGGAGGAGGAGGAGGAGGAGGGAGGAGGGAGGAGGAGGGGGAGGGAGGAGGGCGGAGGGAGGAGGCTGGGGGGAGCCTCCTCCTCCTCCTCTCCGCCTCCGCGCCCTTTCATCCTCCTCCTCCTCTCTCTCTCTCTCTCATTCTCTATCTCTCTCGTTCTATTTGCCTTTCTCGTCTCCTAATCTCCTCCTCCTCCTCCTCCTCCTCTTCCTCCTCCTCCTCCTCCTCCTCCTCCAAGTCATCCTCCCCCTTCTCGTGCTCCCTATCGACCCCTTCATCAACATCCTTCGCCTCCGCATGGCACGGTTCCAAGTGTGGGAGAGCCCATGTACCCCATCCAGCTCGGCAGAGTTTGCCTGTCCTCAAGGGCATCAGCAACTGCACCACGGTCCTCCACCTCCTCCTTCTCCTCCTGCTCCTCCTGCTCCTCCACCTCTTTCTCTTCCTCCTCCTCCTCCTCCTCCTCCTCCTCCTCCTCATCATCATCATCATCATCATCTTCCACTTCTGCGGCACCTGCCCCCGCAGCCTCATTCTCCCCTTTTTGCCTTCATCGACCCCAGATGGCCCCCGGAGGCGCCCGACAGCTCGAGAGCAGCCCCAAAAAACGGCCGCCAACGACGCTCTTCCGCCCTGAATTCCCTTCCCTCCCTCCTACTCCTTCTCGATCCCAGACCCCCTCGATCCTCCTCGACGCCCCTCGATCCTTCTCCAACCTCTTCCCTCCTTTCCTCCTCTTCGATGATCGATCCTCCTCGATCTCCTCGACTGTCCTCGAGCCCACTCCAACTCCTCCCTCCTCGACGCCTATTCGACTCTAGACCCCACTCACCCAGCCAGCTCAAACGCAGGACTCAGGGGGGCACATCCAGAAGGAAAGAACTTCTGGGGCGCGCCGAAGGACCCAGGGGATCAGGGGTTTCCGCAGAAGGAGAAGAAATCCCTGGCGAGGGGTTCGAGCACGGGGAATACCCCCCGTCGCAAATTCCGGAAAAGAAATGAACTTCCAGCCGCGGGGGTGCACGCGTGCGGGGTTCCACATCCCCGGCGCAACGAGAGGAAAAGCGGGAGAGCCCAGATTGCAGCTGCAATCCAGCAAAACTCCGGAAGTAGTTGTACTAAAGTTGTGCTGGCAATTCTACTGAAATTCAGTGTTCTCTCGTAGTACGACAGATCGCCCATTTGAGGACCAGACGCAGTCGAGTATTAGCTGCACACTGTTACATGCAAGTGCACTATCACATCATGTGTACTCAAGTGCTTGTACAGTCAACCCGTACCATGAGGATGCGCTGTATGGATGCAAGGGCTCTGGGGGGCCATGTTCGCGCTTTTCGAACGAGGACGGCCAGCGAAAGTCGCTAAGGATGGGCCGAAGGGGCAAAGATGCGAGGGGCACCCTTGGGAAATTGCCCATCCTTCCTATGCGGGTTGACTGCCACTTTCCAGTCGGAAGAGCTCAGGGGTTCCGACGGCAGGGCGCGCGCGCGCGCGGAAGCAGCAGAGAAGCACACGCGCCGGCCAGGTGTCGCAAGGTTCCACGGGTCGACGCGGAGAAGGACCCCATCGCGTGGGGGTTCCAGGCACGAGTCGGAGAGGCGGCACGGTCGCTCACAAGGATGCGCGCTGAGGATGCAGGGGCCTTGGGCGCACGTGTCGAGGCGCTTTTCGAGCGGGGCGCGGGCCACGGAAGAGGCCGAGGACGGACCGGGGAGGCAGGGACGCATGGGGTACCCTCGGGAAGGCCGCCCCTCCTTAATTACCGCGCGGGTTGACTGTACCCCGCTAGGCCCCTCTCCTTGGGCAAGGACCGACCGTCCTGGCATTACTACAGGCCTACCACAACATGTCCCATCAACCCAAACAGGTTCGAATACTTACATCAGTGTTCTTAGAACATTACCCCGATGTGTCAAGATAAGACATGGCCAGCAATATCTGTTCCAAGAACATGTCGTGCAAACCACACAAGGTCCTCATAACATGATTGGGTGATGTTATTCCCATTTTACTTAAGGACCACATCCCAAAAATAATTTCGAGCACCCAGAAAAATGTCAAAAGAATGCTGAAACAGTGTCGGGCGAGTGTCTCCCAGGGCCCGACACGTGAACACCCTGGAGTTTCGGTACGTGTTTTGGCGCTCAGAAATTCTTCGGGTTATCAAGGCGAATGTAGGTTGGAGCATGACAATTCTTGGGTATCCAAGAGTGGGGGGTGCAAATCATGACCAGCGGCATGTGCGCGACCCAGCGGGGGGGTCAGGAACGTAATGAAATAAGAGGGGGCGCCGTGACAACTGGGGAAATATCATGGCCCCCGCCATGATATCCCTCCCCCCTAGTTATCACCCCCCTCTTTGCTGCCCCCGAACAGAGGAGGTGGCTGCACCATCAGTTCCAAACCTTCCCTTGGATCTAGACCCCCCGGGCTTCAGGCAAGCTGGGCTGGGTGCCAAGCGATGCGCGCCAAGGATTCGAAACCATCGAGGTCCAGCCACCTGGGGATGTCATGGCCCCCGCCATGACATCCTGGCCCCCGTCATGATATCCCCCCCCCATAGCCATCACCCCCCTCTTTTTGGGCGCCCGAATTATCCGGGGTAACTCGGGCCCGGGGTAACTCGGGTTCGGATTCCCGAAAAACGAACCCGAGTTAGCCCTGACCCGAGTTACCCCTGATGATTCGGGGCTCTGATCTTTGCCGCCCCCGTCCTCGGAACATTCTTGGGTGGTTCCCACTGCTGTGAGCCTCCCCTCGCGGACCCCGGCGCGCTCGGCCGGCTCGGCGCCCAGCCGCGAGGGGGGGGGGGGGGCGCGGGCGCGCTGGCCCGCGCGGGGCGCGGCGGCAGGAGCAGGGCGGGAGGAGAGGAGGAGGAGGAGGAGGGAGGAGGAAGGAGGGTGGGAGGAGGAGGAGGGAGGAGGAGGAGGAGGAGGAGGAGGGGGAAGGAGGGAGGAGGAGGAGGAAAAGGGAGGAGGAGGGAGGTGGGCGGAGGAGGGAGGTGTGGGAGGAGGTGAGAGGAGGAGGAGGAGGAGGAGGAGGAGGAGGAGGAGGAGGTAGGAGGGAGGAGGAGGGGGAGGGAGGAGGAAGGGGACAAGGAGGAGGGAGGAGGAGGAAAAGGAGAAGGAGGAGGAGGAAGGGGACAAGGAGGAGGAGGAGGAGGAGGAGGAGGCGGAGGAGGAGGACGCGTCGCCACTGCTTGATCTCAAGCCTCCCTGCAGGGCCCCTCGCACGGGACACCTGGAGCACCGGGACGCCGGCGCGCCCATCGAAGAACGACTGCGGCCGTGGGCCGAGACCACGCCTTCCGTAGCGCGCTCTCTCCGGGTCGGATGTTTCAAAGTTCTGGTTATAGGAGGCCACCTAGATGGGGTCGGAGGATCGAGAGGCCTCCTAGATTTGCAAAGTCCTGGTTGTAGAGGCCTCCCAGACGGGGTCGGAGGATCGAGGGGCCTCCTAGATTTCGAAAGTCCTGATTTTGGATTTCCCCCAGACTCTAGATCGTTGTGGAGCCCTGCTAGAGTTGTAAAGTCCTGGCTGTAGAGGCCTCCTAGATGGCGCCGCATCGCCGATGCATCGGCGGCGTCGGCGAGTCATCGGCGCCATCGGCGCGGAGCAAATCGGGCTGCACATCGGCCCGCATCGGCGGTGCATCGGCGATGCGGCGCGATCCTCCGACCCCATCTGCTCCAACACCATCTAGGAGGCCTAGATCTTTCCAGGTCGGATTTTCTAGACGAGCGCGTCTCACGAATCGCAAAAAAACTATACTCGCACATGGCCTGGCTCCGCTGAGGATTCCGCTACATCGAGGTGAGCATGCGTATTCAGGACGTTCGCGAGTATGCACTTTGCGAGTAGTGGAACGCGCGTGGTGACTTAGAAGAAGAAAGCACATATAAACATAGACTTCTGGCGCTCCACGCGGTTTTCTTGGATCTGCACCAGACCCCCCCCCCTGGCGCGCGGAGCGCGCCAGGGGCGGCGCCGGAGGCGCGAACCCAAGAAATCCGCGCCGAACGCCAACAGTTTATACTTATGGCGTTGCTTCTTCATCGATGATTTTCAGCGTCCTGGTTTCAGGTCGGGCGTGTCCCCCCACAGGGGTTTGGGCGCAGCGTGAAACACAGTCAAAAAATGCTCCAAACATCCGTAAAAATTGTCAAGCAATCGTCCCCAGACTACTTTTTGCCTATTTTTGAATCTCCCTCCTGTCCACGTCGTTCATTTCTAATCGTGCTCATGTCTAATTGTGCTCGTTCCTAGTTGTTCCTGGCCCCCAAGTGGCCAGGAAGAGGCCCAGGATAGAACAAGTAGAAATGACAAGATCTTGGCCTCCCAGAAGTAAAAAGCTGTCGAAGAATTAGAAATGCGGGGGTGAAAAGGCGGGGGTGAACAAAAAACGTGGTCTCATGACCTCATGACCTCATTACCCCCGCACTCTTGACCTCATGCTGCCTTGCTCGCGCGCTGCGCGGCACGCGCGTGGGACACCGCAGCCTCTTGGCCCAGATGAGGACCCAGAGTCCGAAACGCGTCGCCAGCTAAATGTGGCTGAGATCGGTAATGCACCCCCAGCAAAAATGCCCCCCGAAGATGTCAACAACTAGCAGGCATTCTGGAGTGTTAAATGACCCAAACTATGTCAAAAATGCCATCAAAATTGGAATCTCCCTCCTAACGAGGGCATTTTTGGCATAGTTTGGAAGATTCCAAACTATGCCAAAAATGCCCTCAACAAATCTCCCGCATAATTTTGTCTTGCCCATTTTGGAATCTCCCCTCCTGTCGAGGGACAGGCCCGACCTGTGCTTCGGGACTCCTGGCTGGCTGGCGCCCTGGCTGGCCCTCTGGGCGCCGCGGCCCCCGCGCGTGCCGGCCGCCTTTCTGTGGGCCGCGGG